AATCATCTTTAATTTGATATCAAAGTTGGGAACACTCCTAATGGAGCGTTAGCCAGAGTACATAATAGACATTCTCTATTGTGTACTCTTTACATTATACACGGGAACTGATACGTTCTGGTATTACAATGGCAAGCCTGAAGCAGAATTACTGTAAATCACTCATACGTTTTAGAAACTAATAATTCTTCGCTTTTATACCATAAAACAAATTGACCATATTTTTTACACTCGTAGACTAAGAATAAATTCTCAAGAGGTCAAGAAAATGGAAAACCTGCCACACACCCTAGATACTTGTATGGTACCATAAAATAATAGTACTATAGCTCTTAATGGACTATATTATAATATGAAATATTACTATTATATTATGGTAGCAGACCGGGTAAGTATGGTGTGTGCCCACGTTTCCATTATTTCAGGATTCTGACTTAAACAGTACAACGATATAGGAATCGGGGAAATCTAAACATACCAAAACACACCACACAGTACATACAACACTAGATACCATGTACACAGTAAATATCACATCATGCAATACATACCATGTAATACATATCACGCAATATATATACCACACAAGACATATTACGCAGTACATATCACGCTTGGAGTAATTACTTTGGAACTGTTTCTGTTTGTATATATTGTGTGGCAAGGTTGTTTGCCGGTACACTAAATCCTTCATGCAGGCTCAGCTGCGTTATAGAGCAGGTGTTTCCATAAGCTGGCATTACGCGCACGCACACACGCACGCACGCACGCACACACGCACGCACGCACACATGTAAGTATGCATGAACGCACGCACGCACGCACGTACGCATGCACACATGTAAGTACGCATGCACACATGTAAGTACGCATGCACACATGTAAGTACGCATGCACACACGTAAGTATGCAAGCACACATGCAAGCACGCATTAATGCACGCATTCACACATGTATACACGCACACACACGCGGTAAGGGAGGATAAGAGGTGGATACAGCAAGGAGGCGCTTAATACATTATGCTGCGTGGACGATGGATTAAGCCTTCATCAGCGCGTGTATGATGGATTAAACCTTCATCAGCGCATGTATGATGGATTAAGCCTTCATCAGTGCGTGTATGATGGATTAAGCCTTCATCAGCGCGTGTATGATGGATTAAACCTTCATCAGTGCGTGTATGATGGATTAAACCTTCATCAGCGCGTGTATGATGGATTAAACCTTCATCAGCGCGTGTA